ATCACGGGGATCGACCCCGCCATCAATAGCATAGACAGCGCTACTTTTCGGGCTTCTTTTGTAACACTCCGCTCCCTGTACCTGGCGTCAAGTTGCCGATGCTGGACATGGTCACAAACATGGCGAAATAGCTATGGGAGATGCCTGGACTCCGGGTTTTCCACTTCCATGGAGCAGGACGGAGGGTGATATGATACGCGATGCCATGCATCTCCCTGTCTCCAACATGAAGAGCATGGACATTCGTTTCTCGTCCCGTTCTCGTGACAACCCTCACGTGCTCTCTTCGTCACTCCTGCAGCCGCCCTAGACACCACCTTTGTGACTGAGGCTGTTCCAAACGTTACCTCACTGTGCCTGCAGCTGCTCCAGACGCTACCTAACTGTGGCTGCAGCTGCTCCAACGCTACCTCACTGTACCTGCAGATGCTCCAGACGCTACCTAACTGTGGCTGCATCTGCTCCAGACGCTACCTTACTGTGGCTGCATCAGCTGCTCCAGACGCTACCTCACCTCACTGCCTGCAGCTGCTCCAGGCGCTACCTCACTGTGCCTGCAGCTGCCCAGACGCTACCTCACTGTGCATGCAGCTGCTCCAGACGCTTCTCACCTGTGCCTGCAGCGGTTCCAGGCTCCATGCACCAGCTGCAGCAGGTAGGCGGCCAGAAATTCGGCCATCTCGACACAGGTGAGCAGGCTGGCACCGACGAACAGGCCCATGGAGCCGCCGATGTCGGCCAGCAGACTGGTGAAGGTGTAGGCGCGCTGCTGCCCCACGCGCTCCTCCGTGAACGCCGAGAAGAACACGTTCAGCTCGACAAGTTCGACCTGAGACCAGAGCGGCACACATTGAGCTACATGCGGCGTTCGTGTTCATAGCGTGTGCTCGCTGCGTCGCAAGACGACATGCAGCTCAAACTTCGACTCGAGGCAAGACAGAATGCACTTGGCTACCAACATTGCCAATTGGGGCTGAAGCGACGCGGCAAGTGTGGCTGAGTGAATCGCCAATGAGGACAAAATATCCAGACGGTGAAGTACGGCCGTGTAGCACTGCCACGTATGCAGTCGCCAGGCCATCGGTTGGTCCCGGTATGGCGCAGCAGCTGACTGCACGGGATCAGCGCGAGAGGCAACCATTCAGACCACGGAGATTCTATCTCCAGCCAGCAGCTGCTGCCGAGGTGACGCGGCCCACCCACTGGATGAACTCCTGGTCGGAGGTGGTCTGGCGCAGGAAGGCGTTGGCCTCCGCCTGGACCAGCTCCAGCGCCTCCAGCAGCGTTCTCAGCGCGCCGGACAGCTCGTTCAGCGACTGCTGGGTCCACAGCTCCAGCTCGGACGTCACGGTCACGTTAAACTGCGTCACGACACAGAGGGCGGAGTCAGACGGCCAGCTCTTACCGGCGATCAGCTGTTGGCTGTGTAACGCAACGCATCACGCGTGCGTAACGGCGACCGTGGCATACCAAAGCACGGCCAACAACTGCGTCGTTTAAGATAGATAGG